AAAAAAAAAAATTTTTTTTTTTTTTTTTTTTTTTTTTTTTTTTTTTATCGTGAAGAATTTAATTTTTATTTAAACTCATATAAATTAATTTATCTATTTTAAAATAATGTAAATTTTTTTTTAAAATTTGTCAATCTTAGGTTCAAAAAATAAAAAAAAATAATATTTAACATATTTTAATAATTTTCTTTTTTTTTTTATTCAAACACTTTAAAAAATATTTTAAGCTTTTAAATCTCTATTAATAAATATGTCTGCAATTTTTTATTATTAATTTTTAAAATATATGACTTCAGCAAATAAATTTAATACTAAAAAAAATATATATATTAGTAAAAATTAGATAGCACAATGCCACAAAAGATTTAAATATTTTCCTCATCCTGTTTTTGACAAGCCCTAAAGAATAAAAAGAAATTGTGTAACTTATTAATGAGTAACATAAAGTAAATTATATACAAAAAATCAAATTATATGCATAATGAGAATTTCATAAATTATTTATAAATATTTTTTTTCATATAAAAAAACTATAAAAATTAGTATTCAGAAATTTACTTAAATATTTTTCTTTTATATTATTTTATTAAAAATGTTAAATAAAACAATAATATTTATTTATATTATACATTAAAACATTTATATAAATTAATAAATACTTCTATATATTTATTCATTTTTCTTTTTTGTCGACATTTTTTCAATTATAATATATTATATTCTTTAAATTATATTTTATTTCATTTCCTCTTTTTTTTTTTTTTTTTTTATATATTGTACCTTATACAAGCATCTTCGAACAACTTTTTAGTGTCCATAATTTCATTATTTTTTTTAAAATCATAAATTATTTTTTTCATAACTTTAGCTAATATAATAAGAGTTTCTGCCCTAGTTTTTCTCATTTTTTCATCTACAGACATATCTGTAAAAACCTTTTTACATACTCCTTTTATAGTTTGGTCAATATCAATGAGGCAGATATTAAGCATAGTTTCAACAATAGTTGGTAAGGAGTCTTCGATTTTTTTGTTAACTTTTGCAGTTTTTTCTAAAGAAAAATTTTCTTCATCTTCTTTTTTTTTAATTTGATTTGCTAATGAACTAGTTTTAATTAATGTTTTTACAAATTTAAATCCTGTTCCTATTACTCTTTTTTTCTGTTGCATTTTGTAATATTTTCCACTAATACCAAATAAACTGTATTTATCTCCTAAAAATTGATTAGCACAATTTTCATAAGACCATGCAACATTTTCTAATATTACATGCCCAAAAGATGTCTGACATAATTCTTTAATTTCATTTTTAAATTTAGTTATATATTCTTCTTGATTTCCATATATATAATTATTTATTATTTCTCTTAAATGTAGAGCTAATTGAACTTCTCTCTTATTTTGTTCTTTTACAATAATACGTTGCACATCTTCATCTTTATATAACTGTTCATATTCTACATACATAACCATCCTTAATTTTCCAATGTATGGATCTAATTTTTCACTACCAAATAGTAAGGTAAAAAAAAATGTTGAATCAATAAATTGCATATTATTTATAGCTGTTTTTCCTTCTTTGTCATATCTTCTTCTTCTCTCAATATCTCCTAAAACTTGATATGCCTCTCCAATTTTCTGAAATTCTTCTTTTGCTTTTAAATCTGGACATTTATCAGGATGAAATTCTTTTGCAAGTTTGTAATATTGCCTTTTTATTTCATTTTGACTAGCATCTATTGGTACTTTTAAAATTCTATAAAATTCATCATTTTTTACTTTTATGTTACCATTTTTATTATAATATTCATCATCATTAATTTCATCTTTCTTATCAAATGTATTATTTTTATCATCAATTTCATTTAATACTTCATTAGCTTCTTCATCTAAATTATAATAAAAATCATACCATTCTCTTTTTTCTTCATCCCATATTTTTCCTGAGGCTTTTTTGCTTATCGATTCAGGTGTATTTATAATTCCTCTTCCTATTTGATAACTAGCTACTCCCAAAGACATTATTGGAATGATTATTGCACTTAACAATCCAAAAAACATTCCTTTAAAAAAACCATTAACACCCTCTGCCTTTGCACACAAATAAGGAGAAACAAATAAGCAACTAGTCCCAACAATTATTCCTTTTGTAACTGATTTTATACCTGAAACTAAACCAGCACCAGCATGTTTCGGCTTTCTTGTTGAAAATATATTACTTATTAAACTTTTTTCTTCTTTTTCTTTTTCAAGATTATATTTTGGTATTATTTGAGTATTTTCTATAAAAAAAAATATTTTTAAATAAAATTTTTTTTAATATATAAATATATATATATATATATATTACAATATTATAATATTAGAAAATAAATAATAATTTTATTTAAAAAATAATATACATATTTCTACTTATTTAAAATTTATTCTCCTATTTATTTCATAATTTATTTTTTATTATATATTATTTTTAGCTACATAAAATAAAATTTGCTTTGTTATTAATACATACCATAAGGTTGTTTTTCATTCATATTGAAATTGCTACTTTGATTCGAAAACTATTTAAAAAAAAAAAAAATTCAATGTATAATATATGATTTAATAAATATTACACATAATTTATATTTATTTATATTCCATTATAATATTTTTAACTTAAAAATATTTTTTTATTATATTTAATGAAATAATTATTTTATAAATATATATTTCAAGGTACTTAAAGTTTAATTTCTATAATATATATATTCTTTATTTTCTTATAGAAAATTTCAACAAATATGTCATTTTTACTTAAATAAATGTACATAAAAATAATACTGTATTTATATACAGAATTTTTTAATTTTTTTTTTAAATTTGAAATATAATACAATATATATATATATATATATATATATATATATATATATATATATGTCATATAAAAAATTATATTTAAATTATCTTACTTCTTCCATTTCCTTAAATTTAAAAAATTTTTTTGCATCTACATTAATGATAAAAACAAAAGAGAAAAGTTATATTTATAAAATAATAAAGCAAAATTTCTTAAAAGAAAAATAGCATTAATAAGAAAAAATAAGTGTATATTTGTAAAAATATTTTTTTATTTACTTCCTTTTGCCATTTCTTTTCCTAATATTATTCATTTAATCAGAAATATTATATATTAGTTAATTTTAAAAAAAATAATATTAAATTAACATAAAACTTTTATTTATGTTTAACTATTAAATTATAATCAGCTACAGAACAAAAAAAAAAAAAAAAAAAAAAAAAAAAAAATAATAATAATAATACTTTTAACAAAAATATTAATTTTTATATTTGTTAAAATAAAGAAATTTAATGAATATATTTATATATATATATATAGTAATTCAGTGAAAACATTAATTTGTGTAGCTTTTAACAGTATAAAATGTATATACTTACATAAATTATAAAAAAGTATAAAAAAAAAAAAAAAAAAAAGGAATATAAAATTATGTAAAATAAGATTAAAAATAAAAATTTAGAATATGTAATGATTTAATAGAATACTTTGTATATCAAAAATATAATTGAGTTTGGATATGAATTTATTTTAAAAATAATTGTAAAGAAAAAAAAAAAAAATTCATAAGCAATAAAAATAAAGGCTTCTCTTTTCAATTACGTTAACAAAACTGAATAATAGAATTAGTTTTCTTTTTTTTAGTAAAAATAACAACTTTGTTTTGACTCTATAAAAAAAAATTCAAAGTGAACCACATTTCAAAATTCTGTGAAATTTTATAAAATTAAGTATAAAAGTGCCTTTTTGTTATATATTTTATCTTAAACATATTAAAAATAACACTTTTTCAAAATATGTGAGAATATGCATTTTTTTATTATTTTACATTTTTTTTTTTTCCTTATGAAAAAATGTTATTAAAAAGAAAAAAGAAAATTAATATATAATATAATTAACATTCTCATTTATCTTAAAAAAAATTTTATAAAAAAGGTTCATATTTTTATTTTCAACATTTTTTAAATTATTTGACTAATTTATTGTGTGCACATTAATATGACAAAATCGACGTACCAAAATTTTTCTTATTTTATTATCTTTTTTTTTTTAATGAAAATTTTACTTTAAAAGAACTATTGATTCATTGATAGAAGTTATATTATTTCATTAAGAATAATAGAAATAAAAAATATCTTTGAATTATAAATTATAATGCATTAAATTTAAAAAAGGAGAAAAAAAAAATTATTTTAAAAAAAAATAATAAATTTTTTTTTAAAAATTAATAAAATATTTTATAATATTTATTCGTATATCAAATGCGTAATTTTTTTGATAGGCAAATTTTTTAAAATTTTTTTTCTCTTTAAAGAGATACATATATATAAAAGCATGTAAATTTATAAATTTTTTTTAATTATAAAAACAAAAATATGTAATAGATAATAAAAAAAAAAAATATATATATATATATTTATATATATATGATTATAAATTTAAAAACTCGATTTTAAATTATAAAATACTACTTTATTAAATTATTTTTTTTTTTTTTCTATATTCCAACGAAATAATTTTTGAACATAATAAAAATGAGAATTTTAAAGATAAAGAATTTTAATTTAAATTATATTAAAACTTCAAAGTTCCTTTTTAGTGGGTACACTGGTAAACATATAAGTGACAAGGATTTAGTTAAGAAAAGCGATGATTGGTAAAAATAAATATAGAACAATGAAATTATAAAATACAATTAAAAAAAAAAAAAAAAAATAATTACATATGAAAATGAAAAATATATATTTTTAATTAGGTATATTGAAGAAACTAACTTTTGTTTAGGAAGAGTAACGGTTTGTATTAAAAAAAAAAAAATGAGTATTTATTTTTCTATATGTTTTCACTATTTTATATACTATATATATATATATATATATATATATATTTTTTTTTGATTATGTTAATTTTTTATTATAAAATTATTATTTTTATTTTATTATTGTAGAAACTACGATTTTCGGAAAATGATGATATGGCAAGAAGAGTTTTAAAAATTATGGACTCCCAACTAAGTAAAATGTATACAAGAATGCGTGATGGTACTGTTATACCATTTATGTCTTTTTATTTAAATGATGTAATTGACAAACCAGCTCCTAATCATCAATTTATTGAACAACCATTAATCAAATGGACATGGGATGAGGCATACGATGAAGCTTATGAAGAAAATTAATAAACTAGAAGTAGCAAACCATAAATGGAAAAAATTAAAAGCAAAAATAAAAATTAAAAAATAAAAACAAGAAAAAAGAAAAAGAGTTATGTAATTAAAAAAAAAAAAGTATTCGCAAATTTTATTTTTTTTTTTTTTCTGTTTTTAAAATATATATTATTATTTATTTTTTTTTTATTGTTTTTACTAATATTTGTATATATAATTACTGTAATACATATATATATATATATATGTTTATATATATCCTTTTTTTTTTTCGTTATTTTAGATGAGTAAAATTTTAATATATACTATATATAAGTTATACTATAATTACAAACTTTAAAATTAATTAAAAGTTTATTGTAATTTTTTTTTAAAATTTACAAAAAAAAAAAATATAATAGAAATAACAAATTATTATATTGTGAAATTATTTTACATAAAAAAAAAAAAAATAAAATAAAAAGGAATAAAATATTAAATAATTATATGAAAAATAATTTTAAAATAAAATAGATATAACAAGAATTATATGCTATTTTTCTTTTTAATTCTTATAAATTAAAATGTCTATAATAAACAAAGGGAATACAATTTTTTCACTTAATATATTTATTCTTGTATTATTTTTAAAAATTCCATTTAAGCAATTTAAAACAGAGCTGTGAATGCTTGAAACATCTATAAAAAAAAAAAAAAATATAATATATATAAATATGTATATATAAATATATATATATATATGTATAAATATATGTATACATATACATAATTATTTATAATATGCATATGTTTTTTTTTTGGGATATAATATTTTATTAAAAAATATTTCTATATTGTTTTTAGTTTACTTTTATGAGTTTGGGTAAAATCATTTATGGAAAAGTTTTTAATTTTAAAAATATAAAATTTTAAAATTTTATAAAAAATATAAAAACACTCTAATTCATAGTTATTCATATATTTATATAAATTAACAAAATGAAAAATTGTTAAAACTCTATATATATAAATTAATTCATCTAAAGATATTAAAGATGATATTTGTGTTTCGTTATTTCTTTTATGATATTTTGTAATTTCTCTAAAATTAATTAAAAATAAATTATAAATATTTTCATCCAATAAATTTAAAAAATAAACAAATTGCCTCAATAGCAGTCTGAGAGATAGAATTATGTGATTAATATAATTATTTTTTGAATACATATGTAAAAATATGTGCATTATATTAGAATAAAATAAAAGAGACATATATTTAAAGTTTAACTTCTTATAATTATGAAATACCTTAAAAAATGTTATTTTATAAATGGTATTTATATATATATTATAATAATTGTTATTTACTTTAATTACTGATGAATATATATCAACAAGACTTTGCAACTTGTCTTCAAAATTAAATTCTTTGTTTCTCAAACATCGAAGAATTATTTTAAAAAAATAACTGATAAAAAGAAGTAAGTTGTTATTCAAATCAAATAAAAACATATGCACATATAAATTAAAATAATTATCTTTTTCTTCATACAAATTAAAAACATCCATGTATTTTAATATTATATTCTTATTGTTTAAAAAGTTATTAATGTTGCCCCTTTTAATTAAGTTACATTCATTACATAAGTTTAAGGCATGTATAAAACTACCTTGTAATTTATTTTCACTTCTATTATTTTTTTTTAATTCCAATATAAATTTATTTAAAATACTAATATAACTATTAATTATTGATTCTGATTTGTCTAAAAATTCTTTATGCACATTTTTATTCATTAAAACAAAATAAAATAATTCTAAATTTTTTTGTTTTATTACATAATTGCTCAATTTGTTGTACAACATTTTTTCTACAATTTTTATTTTATTTTCCAAATTATTATTTAATATATTAGAAGAATAAGAAATTTCATGATTTCTTTTCTTAAGCAATTTTAATATTTCCTTAATATCAATTGAGGAAAGTATTTCTTTTTCTTTTTTTTTATAGATACTTACTTCAATTTCATTTTGATTTTCTTCAATAAATGAATTTTCTTTTTTGTTAATAATATTACATATATCCTCATAAATACAATTTATCAATTCATAATAATATTTACTAAATAAAATTTTCTCTTTATTGTTATTTTGAATTAATTCCAAATACCTTTCTATGGATGTTAATAAAATAACTTTCATTTTTAGTTCTAATTTATAGATATAAATATTTTCAAGAAAAAATAATAGAATTCTGTTACTAACATTAACTCTACATTTATAAAAATGTAGTAAGTAAATTAGTAAATTTTCGTTCATTTTTTTTTTTTTTATCAAATTAATTATACATTTATCTAAACTGTTAAAAACAGAATCATTTATATTTTTTATGTAATCATTTTTATATTTATATATAAAATTTACTATAGTAAAAATGTCTATATCTATCATCAAATTGATTTTTAATGTGCTATTATTATTATTTATTAAGTTTGATATGACGCTTAAAATTTCAGTTTGTTGTTTTTCACTCATATAAAAATCATTTTGAATTATGAAATTCAAGAAATTACAAAACTCTCTATTAGGAAATGAATTTAAAATATCTATGCATCTATTAAATATTTTATATATAAATAATTCTATTTGTCTTGAATATATTTTTTTGTTATAAAAAAAATATGTATATGCTAATAATATATTTATTAAATGGCCACTAGAAAAATGTAATAAATTTTTTAATATGTCTTTTTTTATTTTTTCAAGAAATATAATAAAATTATGTAGTTTTAATTTATGAACTGAATACACAAAGATGCTTATATCTAAGCAGTTGAATATGTAATTATTTTTATCAATTTTTTCAAAAATAAAATTAAACAAATCTGTGTTTCTTATGTTCAATTTATAGCAACTATATAATAACAAAGAAATTTCTCTAATAGAATAATTATACTCTTTACATGTTATTACATATATAAATTTATCCACAAAGGACAAACCTCTATTTTTTATTTCAATATTTTTTACATTATCTAGATGTTTATGAATTAAACATAAAATCAACTTATTATTTTTTGAAATGTTAGAAAGTATATTAATTATATTTATCCAAGAGGAGTTAGTATTATTAATATCACTTTTAATTATATCAATTTTTTTATGTAACAACAAAATTATATCATTCAATATTTTATTATTTAGTTTTATTTCACTTTTATTTATTATAGTAAGTAACATATTAAATTGAATAAAATTTAAATTATTTGTAATTATATCATTATTGAAAAAATATTTTACTATTTCTTCAATCTTATTATTTTCTCCTTTTTCTTTCATTTTTTTATCTTTTAAATTATGTAACATATGTTTTAAAAGTTTATTTACTTCCATCCTTCTGTAATTTATCATTCCATTGTCTTTATAATTATCTATTACTTTTCCTTCATGCGTACATTTTTTATTAAATTTTAAAAATTTCTCTCGTTTTTCATTGTTTTTTGGAATAATGTTAAAATATTTTCTTAATTTTAAGGTAGTAAAAAAAGGATTATTATATGCTAATTCATTTTTTACACTTATCATAATTTTTTTTTCATCTAGATACTAATATAAATTTGGCATTTTTTTGTTTTAAACTAAGAAACTATACATATATCATGCTATTAAAAATAAAAAAAAAAAAAAAAAAACACCAATTTTTATAAATAAAAAGAAGATTATTATTTCAAATATTATTATTCTTAAATAAAAAAAAATTATAAAAATTGTAACTTTAAATTAACGTAGAAGCAAAATTATATTTTTTTTTTTTTTTCTTATAGAATTGTTAATTATTTCTAATATATGATTCAAAAATAAAGAATGAAATACGGATAATGTTACAAAAAAAAAAAAAAAAATAAAATAATGTTGTATTTATTATAGAATAGAATAATTCATTATAAAAAATTTATAAAATATTAAAAATTATTTTAAAAAAGTTAAATGATTCCAATCATTATATCTATTCTTAACAAATTATTCTTAATACAATCTTTAAAATAAATGTAATTTATTATTTTTATTTCATTGGTAAAATGTATGAATATATATCTTGTTGCATCTAACTATATATTAATTTTTCTTCTTTTGTTTTCTTTTTTTTTTTATTTATTAAAAAGAACTTCAAATATATAAACGTTTTTAAATAAAACTATCCATATTTTTATTTATATTTAATTTTCCTAAATCATACTTTATAATAAAATTATTATATTCAAAATTAAATTCAAACAAAATGTTTTAATTAATATTAATATATATACATATATATATCACTTCAAAATAATACCTTTAATATTTTAAATTATTTTGATATTTGAATTTTATATTATTTTAGTATATTTTATGTTACGAAATATATAAAATTTTGAATATAATGAATTTAAGAATAAAAAAAAAAAAAAAAAAAAAAAAAAAAAATGAAATAATAATATACAAATGATAAAGAAAACAAACGAAAAAAGTATCCGTAACTATTCCTAAGAAATTTTTTTTTTTTTTTTTGAAATATAAATTTACATTAATTATTATATTTTTTTTTTTTTTCAGTTTTTTAAATTATTATATTGATAATAAAATATTATAAAATATAATATATAATAAATATAACTTAAATATCTTTCATGATTTTTTTCCTACAATTTTTCTTGTATTATTTTATTTTATTTTATTTTTTTTTTATATTAATACAATGAAAAAAAATATACATAATATAAGAAATATACTTAATAAAACAAAATTAAGTAAATTGTACAGTACGGAAAATTTAAAATTAAAAGAAAATAAAAACTTAGAGAAAATATATAATGGGGAAAAACTAAATTTTAATAAAGTACCCTTTAAGAAAGAGAAAATAGAAGATATAATTAAAGAAGTTAAATTTGACTATTATTATTTTAATGAAGAAAAAAAAAATAAATATAAAGATATTCCATTGAATATAGCTGTAATAAAGGAATCTGATTTACCTCCTTATAAAGAAGTTGATGAAAAATTACATTTTTCAATTTTAGAAAATGACTTAAAAATAATTTCTACAAATAAAAATAATAGCGTATGCTCAATAGGTATAGCTTAAAAAAAAAAAAAAAAAAAAAAAAAAAAAAAAAAAAAAATTACATAATTGATTATGTATCAATTAATCTCTATCAAAAATAACTTTTATTATTATTATATACATATATCGTATTCATAATATATATTAATATATATGAAGAAATAAATAACATAA